TATAGATAGATATGATTTGCTATGCATTATAATCGTCGGATAGACATGTATCCGTATACAGTTGAAAGGGTCGACCATAATTTATGTACTATATCTGCATATGTCTGTATGCAGGCGGGGTGGAGTGTGTAGGTATGGAATCCGTGTATGTGCCTAAAATATACACACATACGTACAAGCACACACAGCTCCAATTCACACTACCACTACTGTAGTTGACGAGGCTATTCCACGCCACCACAGATGTCAATAGATAGAGTAGCCGAGATGAGATATAACATGTTTGAAATTGGGTAGCTGCGTATGTCAGTAGGTATATACAGTCGTTGCACGTATGCGTGAGTGTAGTTGGGGTATATGTATTAATGGCGTCAAATATTAATAGCAGAGAATAAGCACCACAATATATGCTTAAATTGCGACAACCAGGGTCAGACATGATCTACACTGTGGAAAAATGCACTCACTCTGTATCATACACGCATGCATAAAACAATACACACTTACACACATGCATACACACATGCATACACACAAGCATACATACAAACATAAATACACACAAACACACATACATGCATACACAAACACAAATACAAAAACACACTTACACACATACTCAAACATACACACAAACACAAATACACACATACTCACATACACACATACAGGCATACACACAGACACACAAAAACAAAAACACATACTCACCCACACACATATATAAATATACAAACCAAAATACACATCCCATAGTCGTACCACCAAACGTATGACACTTTCAGACAACATATAAGTGCAAGTAGGTACGCACCACAACCAGCGACAACCCAGTACGGTAGCAGCTCAAGGCAACAACAAGGACCACACAGCCAAAAGAACAGACCTACTTCACACCTTCGACCACAGTGCCCACGAACACATCTCCGCTCGCATAGACCTCCACGCACTGTGCCGCATGATCCCTCTCCGCGTTGATGTATGTGTACACCGGCTGTTCGTGTTCATATTCGTCCTCACTATCCTCGCCTTCGCTGGCACTCGCGCTGCTTTCGGCGTCACTTGCGCTGTATTCGGCGCCGCTTGGATGGCCCGATTGCGCGGCCTCCCCGATGGTTTCTACGCATTGCTGGTTCTGGTTGGGGTGCACGTTCAGTATGTGGCAGTGGTGTATACGTGTGAGTCCTACACATGATCAGATAAGTTACAGAGCTGGATTCAGCATGCACTAACATAGGTTCCGCATTTGATACATGAACGTTGTCAGATACGCGTCTGCAGTCGAGTTGTAACTACAGTACTTCTGCTACATTCTTGTTTTTGTACCCACCGCCGAGGTTGT